TAATAAAAACTCAAATCTAGGCAAAGGCATAACAGCTCTAAATATATCTCTTCCAGAACCAGTAGTTGACCACAACTCTCTTGCATTCTCTTTGCCTGATTTGTAAACACCGGCCAGTATTAAGAGTCCAATAAGAGAGTGAATTTCTTCGGCATTTGTATCGTAAATAAATGATTGCCATGAATTGTATTTACTACTTCTTATTATTATTTCTCGGTTTGTATGCGTGACGATTGATTGTATCATTTCAATGGTGATAAATCGGTTAAATAGTATGTAATTGTTGTTGGCCATAGCTTTCGATATTACTGAACGGCATTTTTCTCGAATTATATTTTTAGATCTGTATTTAGTGGATTGCGATGACGTAATGGTTGACGAAATGTCTTGTAAATCTTGTTCATCGCCATCACTGTTACCACTTTGCTCAGTATCTTTCGAGTGATCGCTTTCATTGATGTCATCGCATTCATCAGCGCTGGACACGTCATTGGCCTCTTCGTCGTCCAACAAATCCTCAATTTGTTGTTGTGATAGCACTTGTTTTCGACTCATTTTAACAAATTAATAACATTTCATTACATTTCACTTTTGATCACCAAATACAACACGTGTTTACATTAGTTTAAAAATTATATATGGTTTTAATAGTCACTAATCAATTATGTTCACCAAAACCCCCATTTTCTTATTTAAATAAGAATATGGGGGTTATAAAATAAAAACGTTATTTATGGTTAAATTGCGATACATATACAGTAATAGTTATATGAGAACTCCTTTACCAATCATACATTGCATACTATTTATGTCTACAGTAATGTCTAAATATATTATACTTATTAGTTATAAATTTATTTCTAACTAATTTTCAGACATATGCACTATAACGTAAGTGTAGTGTATTTGTTTTATAGCATTCATTGCATTAGTTACTTAGAGTCTACAGACATGCATAGATATACTATACACATTAAATATTAGTTTAATTTCCAATTACTCTCACACATATGAAACATAACGTAAGTGTAGTGTATTTGTTTTATAGCATTCATTGCATTAGAATCATACATTGCATACTATTTATGTCTACAGTAATGTCTAAATATATTATACTTATTAGTTATAAATTTATTTCTAACTAATTTTCAGACATATGCACTATAACGTAAGTGTAGTGTATTTGTTTTACAGTTTAGAGTCTACAGACATGCATAGATATACTATACACATTAAATATTAGTTTAATTTCCAATTACTCTCACACATATGAAACATAACGTAAGTGTAGTGTATTTGTTTTATAGCATTCATTGCATTAGTTACTTACAGTCTACAGACATGCATAGCTATACTATACACATTAAATATTAGTTTAATTTCCAATTACTCTCACACATATGAAACATAGCGTAAATGTACTGTATTTGTTTAATAGCATTCATTGCATTAGTTACTTACAGTCTACAGACATGCATAGCTATACTATACACATTAGATATTAGTTTAATTTCCAATTACTCTCACACATATGAAACATAGCGTAAGTGTACTGTATTTGTTTAATAGCATTCATTGCATTAGTTACTTACAGTCTACAGACATGCAGAGATATATTATACACATTAGATTTTAGTTTATTTTTCAATTACTCTCACACATGACGTGAGTATTGTGTTACACTACATCTGTATTGTGAACTCCAATACTCAATACATAGTCAAAGCACTCAATACACAAGCACTCAATACACAAGCATTCAATGCATAGCGGTGGCAGTACCTGCATCGGAACGTTTTCGTTCCAGTGTTGTATGCGTGTAACAATTGACAGCTGCTGTAACTCTATGGAGTCACGTGTGATGGCATTTGCGCACTAATAGCAGAGCGATAGTGAATCGGAAGGTACGCTATGCATAGCGGTGTACCCACGTATGCTTAGTTTTGACAACGTTTCACAAAGTTTATGCAGTGAAGTGGAGAGTTAGTGCTTGGAAGAGATATGACACTTCACTCACTGCTCCTCTCGCGACAAAAATGCACTGAAATGTTAAGAGCGATAAAAGTTACATGTCTACAACACTGGTAGACTTTTTGGAGTGACTTCTCTTTGAAAATCAATTACTCGGACACCACATACGATAATAAAGTTCTGATTGATCTATTATTTGCTCAAATGTTTGATTGAGGCATTCCTGAAATGTTTTTGCACTGACTCTTAAGACTGATTTTTACCGAGAGTTTGAAACTCAAATATCAAAAAGTCTAGGATGTGTTGTGGTTAAGGGTTAAAGTCAAATAGTTCAAAATCTATTACGACTATTTAATTATTGGATAAGTCATGATAAGGTCTTAATTATCATGATAAATAAGTTTATTGAGCGACGCTCAATAAACTTATTTATCATGATAATTAAGACCTTATCATGACTTATCCAATAATTAAATAGTCGTAATAGATTTTGAACTATTTGACTTTAACCCTTAACCACAACACATCCTAGACTTTTTGGAGTGACCTCTCTTTGAAAATCAATTACTCGGACACCACATACGATAATAAAGTTTTGATTGATCTATTATTTGCTCAAATGTTTAATTGAGGCATTCCTGAAATGTTTTTGCACTGACTCTTAAGACTGATTTTTACCGAGAGTTTGAAACTCAAATATCAAAAAGTCTAGGATGTGTTGTGGTTAAGGGTTAAAGTCAAATAGTTCAAAATCTATTACGACTATTTAATTATTGGATAAGTCATGATAAGGTCTTAATTATCATGATAAATAAGTTTATTGAGCGCCTTCTAGTGAAGCTAAAATTACAAAAATGATATTGTTATTTTATGTAACATTCTTAGGCACCAGAAACCAAGTATCATGAAATTCGCAACAATAGTTAAGACACAGTAATATTTCATATGACACCCGCCAATATAAAGTATTCCTATGGGAGAGATTTTATTTCGTTAAAAATTATGGGTGAATTTTGATTAAAATCGATCATGCTCAAACAATAATAGAGATAATACAAAACCCCTACTCTTTTGAAATCTTCTATCTTTAATGTATCTAATCATATGCTATTCAATGGGCAACAGTGACCGGTACCTCAGCTGTGGCCATATCATTATCGGTAGTCAACCCGATTGGCGGCCTGTATTTGATCGGTTCCCATTTGAATCTCATATGGTTGAAGTTATGATATCTTCTTTAAACTATTGTCGAATAACTATTAATGAATCCCAATAACCAAATAGTCACTTCAAATATGTATTTTGTAACAATATTTTCACAAAAATATGATAATTTTTGACCAAATATTTTGGTGCAAATTTGTCAGAATAATTCCAACTGACACTTTTTAAAAATTTCCAGTATACAGACCAATCAACCAATCTTTATGAAACTTGGTTTCTGGTGCCTAAGAATGTTAACTTAAATAATGATAGCATTTTTGTAATTTTAGCTACACTAGAAGGCGCTCAAGGCACCTATTTACCATTTAATCTAATATATAAATATATTGCAAATCTTTCGATGTAACAAATATTTATTCATAACTTGAAAAGTGCGTTAAATATAGCAATAAAATGTGGTTACATATTTATCTAACCATTTGCTCGCATTAATGTTAACAAATAGAGTCTATAACATAATTGAATAATATAATATAAAGATATACTGTATATCATAATATAAAGCAATATGTTAAATACTAGTTAGGCTTATAATTATAAACCTTGAATATACAAATTAAGTAACATTTCAATATAATATCAGTTGTATTAATAAACTACAATATTCTAATTGTTATAAACATGTTAGGATTATAAACCGTTGAGCACTTTTTTACCCGTCACCGTCGCTCCGTCTCCGTCACTGTCACCGTCGATAAATTTTACCTGTATGTTGTATATATGGAGTCAATGTAGAATTCAGCGCTGAGTTCGGATCTAAAATTCAAACTGTTCTATCTCGAATATATTTCGAGTTATTCAACATAGAAGTTTTTATACCGAAAATTTTCAAACGGCTCAATTTATTAATGTGATATATCTTTTCGATGTAAAATTTAACGCTGAGTTTGAATCTGAAATTTATAATCATCTACCTTAAATATCTTTAAAGTTATTTAAATTTTAACATTTTAAAGTCGAATAGTTCGAAAATTGTAGACTAAATTTTAAAACCGATCTGATTATATTAACCAGCGTTAAACTCTACATCGAAATCATATATCATATTAATAAATTGAGCTTTTTTAAAATTTTCGATAAAAATATTCGAAGTCGAATAACTCAAAATGTATTCGAGATAGAACATTTTGAATTTCAGATTTCAACTCAGTGCTGAATTCTACATTGACTCCATATATAAAACATACATGTAAAATGGATCAACGTTGACGGAGCGACGGTGACGAGTAAAAAAGTGCTCCCCTTATAAACATATAAACTTATAAACAATAGGGATAATAAGTCATTATTAATCACTATCACCCCGTATAACTAAAATCTTATAATTAATTTAATTATTTACGGTCACATTCCTTGGCACTAAAATCCGAGTTTTGTTAAAATTGTATGATTACTTTTGACACAGGCAATTTTTTGTAATACGGACAGAATTATATTTTATTTTATTACAGAATTATATTAATTACTTTATATCGCACCCTTTAATAGAAATACATTATTTTCCCCAACTTTATTCAAAAAATTGCTGTGTGAAAAGTAATTTTAAGATTTGGATGAAACACGGATCTGATGCCTAATATTGTAATCCTAAATAATAAGACCAATTACAAAATTCTAGCTACACGGCTGATTATGAGTAAACGTATTTATCATTTAAAATATTAATTACTACAATACTAATGTCTAAATATTATTAGTAAACAAACAATTTATTTAATATTCCATTGATAGAGATTAATTGGTATTGATTGGGTTAGTATCCCTATAAGTTGGGATAAGTTGTTAATATAAAATCTTATATAATCTTATATAAAATTTGCTTCTTTAGCCATTGAATAGAAGATAGAGTTAGTGTTTTGCAAGAGATGATGGGGTGAATCAAACTCGGCTACCATTCCCTTATCCATTACCAACACTTTGTCGTAATCTATGATTGTATTCAATCGATGAGCGATCGTAACAATAGTTGACAAACAAAACTCTTTTCTAATCGTCTGTTGGATTAAGTCATCCGTTTCCATATCAACCGCTAAAATACATTATTATATATATATATATTAGTTCGCAATTGAATTTAAGATAAACAAATTATACCAGCGGTCGCCTCGTCCAACACCAAGATCTTAGTTTTCCTCAACAGAGCTCTGGCCAAACAAATCAACTGTTTTTGTCCAACACTTAGATTTTCCCCGCCTTCAGAGATCTCATGACTCAATCCCTTTTTCAAAGTGTCCACAAATTGCTTGAGATGTGCCGACTCTAAGGCTCTCCAGATATCAGTGTCTGAGTATCGGTTGAATGGATCCAAATTGAGACGTAATGTTCCGGTGAAGAGCGCCGGGTCTTGAGGTATAATTGTTATGCGAGACCTCAAGTCATATAAACCCAGTTGTTTAATGTCCACTGAGTCTATACGTATGGATCCATTGACCGGTTCTATGAGTCGGAAGAGCGCCAGAGTTAGCGATGACTTTCCGGCACCCGTTCTGCCGACTATTCCCACCTTCTCTTTGGGCTTCACTTCTAATGTAATCGTTTTGAGCACTAAATCCAATCCTTCTCTATATCTAGTGCTGTATTCACTGAACTTTATTTCTCCCTTTTCGGGCCAATCGGGCAATGGTTTTGTCACTTCATTATACCATTCGGCCTAACAATACATTTACAAATTATATGTAATTAATTATGCAAATATTTTGTGTATTAAATACTTCAATCGGAGTTTCCGTGTATTCAAGACATCTCTCAACCGAAATGATATTAGTTTCGAGATTTGAAGTGTAATGCACTAAATTTGTTAAACATCGAGTTATATCAAGTGAATAACTAATAGCCAGACCCGCAATACCCGGACTTAGTTTGAAACGATAATACACAATAAATATTGCCGTTAAAAATACAATACAATGACCTAATAATTCAAGTCTGATTGCGAGCCATTGGGAAGCTGTAAAGCTTGGATAATAACACATATGGTTTTCATCGACACGTCTATTGGACTCCTGTATGAACTGATGGGACACTCCATACGCTCTAATACTTGTGTAACCGCTAACTGTTTCACTGAAATGGCTATAAATAGGGGAACGAGTGGTCGATTCAATGCGTTTGAGTTGACGAGAAGTGCGAATATATAGCTTTTGAATGAAATAATAAACAAAAAAGAGGGGAAGGATTGCAGTCAATACTAATGGCGTTTGAAATGTAATGAGAAAAATAGCGACAAATGCTCTCATAATGATTGTTATTGTCATCCGAAGGCTGTCTATAAGAGCATAATCGACTGAATCCATGTCACGACTAAACCGATTTTGAATTCGTCCGATTGGTGTCGTGTCTGGAAATGCTTTTATCAATACTTATTCTAATTATTTAAACAATTGTTATATTTACCGTAGAAACTGATTGGCGCCCTTATAATCCTATCCAACACAATGTTATGCAAGTGTTTCGCGGCTCCAATACATCCAAAACTGATGAATGTTTGCGAAATGAAAGTGAAAACAGTGTCAAAGACACCGATTCCGGCGTAAACTCCGAGTCTTATATACCGAACATTTGTGTCATTCATGTGATTGGAGTCAAGGGAGTCGTCGGACCACTCGCTCAGCCAAAGACCCGATAATATCTGAGCCATTGTTGAGGCGAGTGATGAGCCAATAATAACGGCGCAAAACCACAAACCAATTAAAGTAATATATTTTTTGTATATTTTGAATCCAACACAACTCGTCTCTGAGCTTTCGATTTCGGTTAACTTTCCACTCGTTTTAACGAATAATTGGTTTTTAATCATATTTTCTTCTTTTAATCGTTTTTCTCTCAAATTATTTAACATTTGTTTTATTAGATTTTTCCATTCATTTCCATCGCCAGACCCATTGAATCCGCCATTTGTTTGATTAATAACTTTTTTAACCAAACATTTCATTCTATCTCTTAATTTGTTAACAATTTTTTTGTCTTCATATTTGAGTTCATTGTCCGACTGTTGGGACAGATATTCGGTCATAAATTCGGAAAAATATCCATTTTTTGAAATGAGATTTTCAAATGTTCCCGATTCAAAGACGTATCCATTCTTTATGACCACAATTTGGTCCACATTTGGCAAAATAGAGACACTATTTGTAACTAAAATTCTTATTTTGTCTTTTAATAAACCGTTTCTTCCAATAGTTTTCTCAAACAAATGTTTGCCCACATGTGTGTCCACAGCGCTATAAAAATTCAATTAAATTAAAACAAGGATTACAAATAGACTGACTAAATAGGTTTATGACAATCATGGAATCGTAGACATTTGATTAATTTTAGCTATATTATTTTGGAAGCCTCCATAGACTTAATGTTTATAATTTTTTTAAAATTCCGGATAGGCCATTTAATTTCTGGATAATCCAGGTCATTTTTTTGAACATCTGGTCAGTCTAATAACACAGCGATGATATACCGTATGTTAAATTCATAACAATAAATACCTGAACGGGTCGTCGAGTAAATAGATATCTCTGTTTGCATAGACAGCCCTCGCCATTGAAACCCTCTGTTTCTGACCGCCGGACAAATTGATACCTTTTTCCCCGATTTCTGTCAGATCTCTGTCCGGAAGTTGAGCCAAGTCTGGCACTAAAGCACACGATTCGAGCACTCGTTCATAGTATTCATCATTCAATTCATTAGTGAATACAATATTCTCTTTGAGTGTCTTATTCTGAATCCACGCCTCTTGTGGTACATAAGCGACACTTCCCTCAACACAAGCGCTTCCCTCAAGAATTTCCAATTCACCCAAAAGTGCCGATAAAAGTGATGACTTCCCGGCGCCCACCAAACCCACGACTGCCACTAATTTCGGTTCAAACACTTCCATTGATATATTGTTCAGAACCGGAGGAATATGTTTATCCCAAGAAAATGTTGCATTTATTATTGATATTGAAATTGTTTTATGTTTATTGTTAAAAAATGTGTTTTCTTTAACTTCGTTGGCATTAATGAATTTATTGATTCTATTAAGGGATACTAAACACTAAAATGTATTAATAGTATGTATTCACAAAAATAATGTAATACGTAAAAGGTGGAGATTAATCGACTTCGCAAAAGTAAACTCAAATATCTCAAAAACGTATTTGGTCTAGAAAGTCAAATGATATATCAAAATACTCATCAACTGCGGGAGTTTGTGTTATGATATGGTCAATATGATTGACATCCTATTTTAGAAATAATTGACTCATTGATTCTTTATTCTGAACAATTTGGTATATCAAATTATAATATCGGCTAAAGACTATCTGAGCTGCAAAATATGAAATTAATGTGAGGAGAAATTGCTTGACAACATTTTTAAAATAGTCACATTATACCCATCATGGATAGTGAACATATTTAATAATTTAATTTTCAAGTGTACCTACGTTAAAAATAATTCATTCTTTTATGTGAAAAATGTTGAATGCTTTTCTATGATAAATATTTTCGTTTTTAGAATTAATATATTTCAGTCACCGTGATAACCCCCCTGCCAAATTATATATGGAATTAATTATAGGTTATCTGACAACAATTCTGTCATAACAGATTCAAAATCAAAATACACAGTTAAAAGTTATTAAAGATTGTCTTTTCCCAGATTGTTATTTTGAAAACCGTATTATTAAAATTTCTAGACCAAATACATTTCGAGATATTCGAGTTTACTTTTGCGGAGTTGATTAATCTCCACCCTGTATATGATATAACTTAATACCATTGCACCCGTGGTTAGTAATATAGGACAAAATCCAATGGGATTTCCTAAATAAATGAATTTTTACATTAAAAATTTTAATATTGGTTCACAAATAATATGTAATTTACTCATTAAATTAAACAATGCCAGAGAAACAAACGCTTTATTCGCGTCCAGATTATTATTCGGAGAAATTAAGATGAATGTAATAAAACTGATTAACCCAATCTAGTAATTAATAAAACAATTAAAATATATATAATTTTAATTGTTCATTGTATGAGATAGATTGATACATACAAAGAAATGTGCTGAATAAAACATGAATATAGTTGCGCTCTGATAAATGGCCTTAGTATTCAATGCCTTTACCTCCTGATCCCGAGCTCTACAAACCTGGTCTTTGAACGCCTTCTCCCAGGCATACAATTTCAATACTTTAATACCATTTAGTAATTCATTCAACACTTTAATCCTATGATCCTTAACTCGCATTTGAATTGTTTGATATTTCTTCACTTTATGACCAATACATGCATTAAATGGCAATAAAATGACCAGAAATGCGAGACCGGCGAGAGTTGCGACACCTAATTGTTGCCACAATAATACCGAAGCAATTAATATGTAAAAAGGTGTCGACCATAAGTAGTTTGCGAGTAATATAAAGTCTATTATTCTTTGAATGTCGACAGACATCAGGTTTATTATTTCACCAGAAATGAAATCCTTTCGACCACAACTCGATAATTTTAGGCTCTATATTAATAATACATTCATCAGGTGCAGTTTTTAAAATAAATTGCTTTAACAGAAATTTGCCTTCCCTGTATAACCGATTCTTAAAATGTTTATCTTTATTCAGTTGTCAAAACAAGCGAACACAAACACCGAAGTAATTGTCAAATTTCTAACTACGTGCATAGGCTTTATAACATTATAATTTTGCAAATGATATTACTTATCTAAACAAGGATCACACAGCGATGCTATACGTTAACCCCTATTCGGGTGATTCTCAAAGAATAGATTAGCATTATTTATACATTTAATAAATGTACATAGGATTAGCACTCCCCATAGACTTAGCACTGTTCATAGACTTATCATTGCCCATGTTATTCTTATGCCATAGACTTAGCATTACCCATGTTATTCCTATGCCATAGACTTATCATTACCCATAGACTTATCATTGCCCATGTTATTCCTCTGCCATAGACTTATCATTGCCCATATTATCCCTATGTCATAGACTTAAGCTGTAACTCCATAGAAACCTATGTTAAAGCAATCTCCCATAGACTTAACATTAGTCCCATAAGATTAACATGGAGAAAAACTACTCTTTCCCTTCATATTTTGCTTTTCCATAGGAAATAGTTCTCCCATAGGATTAACATTACCCATAGGATAACATTAGCCCATGTTAAGTCTATGGAAAAAGCTCCATAGGATTAGCATTACCCATGTTAAGTCTAGGTCATAGGCTTATGCTGTAATCCCATGTTAAATCCCATAGAGTGGGGAGGCCGGGGGGCCGAACGATTCTATAAACCACATTATTCCTATCAGAATAGTGGTTAAAAACAAATTTTCAATGCATCGAGCCATATGTAACTATTTGATTAAGAAATTTGACCATAACTTCGGTGTTTATGGCCATTTGTAGGTTCTGACCAATAAATATACATTTATTAATTGTACCAAATACGATTATATAAAGCCCGTAGTGATTCGGTTATACCTGACAAGCACTCTTCCTTTTAAGTAGAAAGTTATTAGTTATTATTATTATTACCTTTTGATAAATAGTCGATATAAGAGTAGCTCTGATTCTCATCGCCACTAAATTAATCCGATATTCGTATTGACTGTTGAATAGAGACACAAACAGAAGGGGAATAAACATAAGGGAGGCGTAGAATAAACCCCTCCACTGGGGCTCAGCATTAGAGGGACTCATGAATGAAATGAGTCTATCGAGTGCTATAGGGCTCATGAATTCCAGACAAATAGCGATTAGTTTGACTGCACTTACAGTCAATAACTCCATCCAAAAGCACTTTAATATAGGAATTAAAATCTTGATGTAATATATGTTTTGGTCATTATTTTGTGATTCCATTTTCCTATCTATTAATTGTGACCAAATATTATTAAATTTTTTGTATATATAATCAGTGGTGTTGTGACTATCCAAATGCCACATATCATTAAATGTCAATGGGTTTCGGTATCCCTTAGATATGAGTTCATTAAACCAATTGAATGTGATTTGAGATAAGAATGACATATATTTTTTGGGACATTTCTTCTATGAAAAGATAATTATTATTTATTAGGAATTGTATATAAAAAGTGATGAAATCATACATTTGTTAATTTGAATGTCGAGTTTGATAGACACGAGAGAATTAATTGCACGACAATTATTGGGTACGAAAGCATTGTCGCCGTTATTTCAAATAAATTGATTGAGAAATTCTTATTTGTAATGAAAAATAAAAATTTTATTAAAATTAAAATATTGTGTGAATACAGACTTACTGTTTTTGAAGTAATAATGTTCCGAATTATTGAAACAAAATTAAATGCATTTCCAATCGATAAAAGTAACCAAAATGTGAAAACAGGAGCCGAAGAAGAAATATTGTATTTCCGATTCTTATGTATTCTATGTATGAAATATATCTGAAACAGAAATATTGTAAAATTCAATACTTTCTATAAAATCAATACAATTGATCAAAAATCAAATACTTATTAAACTAATTAAATTTAATTAAAAATTAAATTAATACTTACAAACGTAATTGATTTAAACGTAGGTGTTATAAAATCAAATAGTGATATATTCATATTATTTTCTACCCAATATTGATGACAAGTGTAGAATATTTCAACTATATTTATTACAATTAAAATTAGGGCCAAAATCTAAAGAAATGGATTCAATGAATGATCGTAAATAATTTTAAAAATGGACTCATTTTAAATATTATTGCGATTTAGGTTACATCTCTGACATTCCACGAGGGAGGAGTACGAGTCGTCTTCTCCGTGTCTTTAGTGAACAATGTCCTCAAACTCTCACAAAGGGATAGTATGAAGAATACTATACATGGAATGCATACCAATATTGTGTTCTCAAAACATGTGCTAAAATCGAAAAAGGTTTTGTTATTCCACGAAAGATCCCAATCCTTATTAATTGACAAATAATGTAATTAAACATTTCATTACACATTCAAGTTAAATTATGCAATTAAAACTCACCCTAAATATAGTGTCACAAATTGGTAGCATTTTGGGTAACACAATGGTTAAAATTTTGTATGTAATTGACGAGGTTAAATTCAGTTAATATTTTAAATCACTAAAAATAATAAACATTATAATTTATTATTAATATTATTGTATTAAATACACATTATTAAATGTTTGTATTAAATTTATATAATATAGAATTAAACTCTTGTACTCATCTCTTCAAGGCTCGTTCACAATTAATGTATATTTGTAACGATAGGATAGTAATTATGATCAAAATTTATTTGTCTATTTTTGGAGTCAATTAACATTTTGAAATGTATTTTTAAATCAGAAATAATAGTTTACAAGTATTTATTATAACAAATTAGTATGTTTTAAAAGTCGAATAATTTATATTGAAGTTGTAGATAAGGATGGCAAAAATGATACATACATGTAAGATGAAGGGTAGGACGGGTCGGAAGGGTAGGAAGCTTTAGCGATCTACCTATAACTTACTTTTACTTATTTACTTATTACTTCTAGGGTAGAAAGCTTAGTTTACTTTTACTTATTTACTTTATATTATTACTTATTTACTTATTACTTATTTTTACTTATACAAAAAATCGTTTCGAGGTCGTCCGTTATTCCTGAGATACTAAATTTTGATATCGGATTCATATGTCCGATTAAAAAGTAGAATAGGATTGTATGATGAAGTGACCACATTTGCTTATAGGTTCGGCGGAAAAATGGCCAAAAGTGCAATTGTTTAATAAATTCATATCTCAGGAATGGTAAAAGATAGAATTATGATCTAAAGTTCATAATACCTCTAATATCAATTCTGATGCTCACGTGAAAACGGCAATGCGATTGCTCTAACCGTTGCCCCGAAATGCTACATTAATAAAAATAAATTTCTCGGAAAACAGGAATTTGGCTGGCGTTTGGCCAATTGAGCAGCTATAATGTTATCTCTTAATAATACTTTAGGCACCATTACCCTTATTTTTATTTGCTATAATTTTCTATGTGTTTTTTACTCTAGCGCCCCATGGGTACACCCGATCGAGTTGGTGCCATAGGCAAATATTTAAAATGAATTTTGCTTGACATGTTACCTGCTGGCGCCATTGCTCGATCTATTCCATAGGCCGAGTTTGAAAATTCCTAGTCCAAAAAACGCGTCTTGAGATATAAGCCTTTGAACTTTTGACAAACAGCCAATGATTGTAGGCTAATGTGATAACCTACATATTTGATGTTTGATATCTAGGTACAAGTTTGACTTTATAAACAATTTCCGAAGTCCCGACCCCGCTCGTTCCCGATTATCGGGAAAACGGGTACACATGTATTTTCGACACTAACGCCACCTTGGACAGTACGAATTGAATAATATCGGGTTCGTTCGAAAACTGACATAGTTTATGACATAATTACATGTTCTGATAAATTCATTACCCAACCTATACACTACCGTACAAGATAGGTGGATCGCTATGCTATAATTGTATATGATATAAAAGGCTGTTCAAAAACTTCCGGTTGTGTTTCTTGGTCGATTCCTCTGGAACTGTTGGGGTGACAATATTGAAACTTCACACATATATAGAACCACGTCGGGCAATTTTTTGAGATTAAATAATTTTATGATCACGTGACTATTTTTGGGTAAAAATGGATGGTTTGCGAGACCCATAGTCACAGCCTCCTGTGTTAATCATA